TTTTGTATAAAAGTTCTAGTATTAAACAGATCATATTCCACATACACAAAACCAATCTGAAAACGACGATATCCCACCCCCACAGATATCTGAGAATCTCAGGTTTACTCCTGGTATAATTATTTAATTTTCATTTTGCATTTTTTATAGATATAATTGATAATATTATTATATATAGTCCGTATAGGCCGTATTACGTCACCAGAACTTCAGCCAATGGCAGTGCTGTATGCTGGTCATGTGATTTCCGCCTGTTGCCCGATTCACAACGGTACCCTTAAAAGCTTTGTCTGCATCAAGTATAAATTAAATATTAATGTTTTATAATTTTAAATACTGATTATTTATAATTGTGGTTTCTCCACTAAAGGGACTTGCGGATTTCTACTGAAGGAAAACTACATGAATTATCAGAATAAAGCAGTTTTAAACGATATCTTCCACATTATTGATAAGATAAATGTTTCAATGTACCATTGTAAATCGGGCATTGCAATCTTTGCATGAGGGTCAAGTAAAATTACGCGTACAGTCTCTTTAATCGATAAAAGAGGCCCGCCATGCTTATTTTCTATTCTAGCTTTAACATTCAATCTTTTAGTGAATCAAAATTTTTTTATTAGATTTCTTAAATATTTACAGATGATTTGGGCCTCGCTCTGCATGTGACATCCTCCCCTCCCCTCCCCCTTCACCTTCAATCAAACTGCATAACTTGGCAACCAAGCTTTAGAAGTCACTTTTATAATTGCATTGTACTGTGTACGAAAGTATGCAGAGTGCAGAATTGCGCAGTTGCAAAAAAATCTGGCATTCTTAGAACCGCGCCCTTGATAGATATTGACATTCAATACCTTGAAATTTTAATATTTTATCAATATATAGATCATAAAAATATAGATATACCATGATCCTATACTTTTTGATCAATATATAGATCATAAAAATATAGATATACCATGATCCTATATTCATGGATCTATATATCTATATAATAAAACAAGACATTCATATATATTTTTCCTATAGCTGGCCAAACGGCTGGACCGAATGGGCTGAACTTTGTTGTGGACTCTCATGGGTAGCCTGGGGGTGACTATAGGCTAAAAAAAAATTTTTTTCACGGTCTATAGATATACCACGATTTGTACTCATTTTTCTATAGCGGGGATATTCCATCTTTAACTTTTGTGCATAAACTAGACAATAACCTTTACTAATTTGATTTCCTTTGTGTTTTTTTTTTATCAAGTTTCCCCAGGGGGTGGAAACGTCATGTGTGTGTCTGTACCAAAAGAGTGTGTGTAAAGTTTACCGTACCGAAGGTGTGTACTGTAGGTGTATACAGTACATGCAAATCTCAGTATTTGTACAGTCTAGGAGAGAACATATGTTTATAGTTAATTGTTTACTTAAAAATAAGTTTAATATACATGTCGTATATTATTTATTATATTATATATATATTTAAGTCAACACTATAAAATAAATTTTCATGCAAAGAATATAACTTTATTAAAGTTTACGATAAATATAGTCGTTATTCAAGCTTAATTACAATTGACAACAGTGTTCTGCAATTTCCTTGAATGTAATCATGTTGTGTTTCTGTACCAAAAGAGTGTGTGTAAAGTTTACCGTACTGGTACGTCTGCAAAGCAGTGCGACTGGCTTTCTCATGCCAGACCAGCGCCATTTCCATTTCCTTTATTCGATCCTATTCTCTGGGATTAACAGAGTTTGTCGTTGTTGTGTGCAATTTTAATCCCCCTTTTAAGTTTTAACTTTATATCTCCTTTTCCAACGTTTCCTATCTTTTTTTACCATGATGAGATAAAATTTCGAATGCCATGCCATTGCAAAAATCCAGCTGTTTATTCCAAAATCTAGTTATTTAGCAAAAAAATATAGGTACAATTTCTTTGCAGAAATTGTGCAATCTACTTCCTTTTTTAAAGGCTTTTTAAAGAGCTATAAAATGTTAAAAGCCAATGACAGGAAATAGGTATAAATATAGATTTAGTCTGGTAAAGGTAATTAAATAACGAATTCAGGCAGTATGCCTGAGGATTCAGACAGAAGGCATGAAAGCCCAGCTTTTGCCCTATTTTGAGGGACATATATTTAACAGCCTCAGACCAATACTTTTTGACTTATCGTTATAAAACTATAGGGGGGAGGGGTAGGGGTCATAGTTCCCGCCCCCTTAGTTGGAATAGGGTTAAAACAAAAAAATATTAAAACTGGAGGTATCATAATCGCACTGTAAACCTAAGGTTAATGGTATGAAAATTTTTAAGAAAAAGGGCTCTTTTTTTTCTTCCATCACATTTTTTAGGACCTACTGCTCCCCACTAATCCTCATAAAACAATGTTTATTGCAGAAATAAAAAAAATAGATAGTGAGCAAATTCATCAAAATATTGTTGTGATTTATAACCAAGATTGCATTCACTTTTTATAGGTCACAAAAATTATGTTTTATATTATATTCCCCCACCCCTCGACCCTTTCTCAACCAGGGGCGAATCAAACCAATATCTCAGGGGGCGGGGGGGGGGTTATATTTATGCGCGTGCCCCCCCCCTCATAAAAATTAAACAAAAAGCAGTAAATTTCCAATTTCTTATTTATTATTACATTTAAAACACATTTTTCATAATAAACAATATGAATTTTCTCCTTCATAAAGGAATTGAGTCTTTGGAACAAAATAAAATATTTAAACCTTTGATATTTCAAACTCAGATTATTTAATCTAACAGAACTCATAGTTTGAAATATCTAAGGTCTGCAACATTGGCTTCCAGAGATATAGTTGGAGAAAACGTGGAAAAATCATATATTTGCCACATGAATATATTGAGACCTTCCTGACCTCTGATACCTTGAACATGAATATATTGAGACCTTCCTGACCTCTGATACCTTGAACATGAATATATTGAGACCTTCCAGACCTTTGATACCTTGAACATGAATATATTGAGACCTTCCAGACCTCTGATACCTTGAACATGAATATATTGAGACCTTCCAGACCTCTAATACCTTGAACATGAATATATTGAGACCTTCCAGACCTCTGATACCTTGAACATGAATATATTGAGACCTTCCTGACCTCTGATACCTTGAACATGAATATATTGAGACCTTCCTGACCTCTGATACCTTAAACATGAATATATTGAGACCTTCCTGACCTCTGATACCTTGAACATGAATATATTGAGACCTTCCTGACCTCTGATACCTTGAACATGAATATTTTGAGACCTTCCAGACCTCTGATACCTTGAACATGAATATATTGAGACCTTCCTGACCTCTGATACCTTGAACATGAATATATTGAGACCTTCCTGACCTCTGATACCTTGAACATGAATATATTGAGACCTTCCTGACCTCTGATACCTTGAACATGAATATATTGAGACCTTTCTGACCTCTGATACCTTGAACATGAATATATTGAGACCTTCCAGACCTCTGATACCTTGAACATGAATATATTGAGACCTTCCAGACCTCTGATACCTTGAACATGAATATATTGAGACCTTCCAGACCTTTGATACCTTGACCTTGTTAAAGTTCAATACAAATCATATCATAGTAACATTTTTACATATCTAATCAAAGGTAATAATGTTGTTGATTATCTATTCTTTTTTGAGCACTTAATAATAATTTAATAAATCCTTTTTATTGCATGTTAAATGAATTTTTACAGTGCTAACCAGAAAACTATGAAATATGAAGATAACTTTTAAACTCAATTTAGGACTTCAACTAGTTCAATGAACATTAGACATAGCAATTGTACAGTGTTAATGGACCCATTTCACTTTAAAAGTGTTTTGCTAAGTTAATAATAAAAATATTTGCTTTTTAACATAACGCTTGAGTATTGCTGTAATGTCGTCTTTCTATTCCATTGTTTTCTGGTTTTTACTGATGAAATATTTAACTTATGGATATGCTGAAGGGCCCGGCTCGCCTGGCGTTGTCCGTGGACAAAAAAAAATAAATGAGAAAAAAAATTATAGAATTTATTTAGCCAATAACACCCCTGGCCACCCATGAGTGTCCATACAAAATTTCAGCCCAATCGGTCCAGCCGTTTGGCCAGCTATAGGCAACATATATATACGAATGGCCCCCTTGTTTTATTATGTAGATTAAAGACTAAAGAGGTGTTTCTGGTTATTAAAATGATAAGAAAGAAAAATAATTCAAAAAACAATAAATAATCATTTGAAACCACCCAGAACATTTTTCGTTTTAAATAATGTCCTTTTTTGAGAGAGAGAGATAAACATTATGATTTATAATTTACGATGAGACACAACCAGATGATGGCATGCATGAGTTTTCCACTGGATTTGGTTAAACAATATATGTTAGTTATTATTCTATTTTTGTTCAGGCCGAGGCTGGGGGCATAAGCCCCCCATGGACCAGTGAAATATATCTATATAATTTCATGGGGTTGATCAGGCCCCAAAGGGCGCTGAGCCACCCTGGAAAGAGAACAAATTTCTGAATACGCCCCTGGTTCTGTATATCTAATTTTCGATTTTATGACAATTGAGTTAATTTTAGGATTTAAAACGACGATGTTGTTCTTTACCAGCGTTCAAGTTTTAGCGTACAAATATACAGAAAGATAGATAGATAGACACTGTGTCTGTAAAGGTAAAAATAGATAGATAGATACCTAGATCAAATCAGAAGCCAGGGGCAGCGTGAAAAGTTGGGTCGGGGGGGGGGAGGTTTTGGTGCTTGAAGAGAAAGAGGGGGAGGAAACTCCGCCCGGTCCGACAAGTGACCACAAGATAGTAATTCCTCTGGCCAGCAGAGCCTGAAGCGCCTAAACCTGTTCTTGACACAGGTCGGACCGGGTCCCCCCCCGCCCCTCCCAGCCTGAGGCCTCGGGCAAACCAAAGCGACCACGTGAGACGCCGGCCCCGGCTCGGTCCGACTCTTACAGGTTAGTACTAGTAGTGTTCTGACAAATCTCAGCCTAGGTGGTGTCGATATCTAGTTTCCCGCATTTTGTATTCATCAATTATAGTGCTTTTTTTTAGTGATTATTCTAGAACATCAACGAGAACTCAAGTTAGACGTTAGAAACCCTTTCAAAGCTGGATAGTTAGACGTGAGACGAATATGACTGTTATCTTTAAAAATTAAAAATAAAAGTAAAAAATAAACATGTTAGAAATGCTTTTTGGACGCAAGATGAGCTTTAGAGTTTTACTTCTAGTTTTATCAGGTTAGATTACTTTTCTTAATTAAATCTTTTTCCTTCTTAAAATTATAGTTTGAATCTCTGTGTAGAACGTCTTGAAGTTTTCTTAATTAATCTTAATATGAATATATGAGAAAAACATTGGGAAAATTCACACATACGACTTGCAATTGTCATATTAACAGATATTCAAATTGAAATCTCAAGAAGTTACTTCGCACCAAACCAACATTGAACAAAATTGAAAACTGAAAGAATATTTCTATTTGGCATTAAACCAAATTATACAGAATTATCTTTTTCATGGATAAAATTCCCCCTTCCTTTTATGACCCCTTCCCCACATCCTTCGTCTTATCTTTTACCTATCCCCCCCTCTTTCCCCTCTGTTCCTTAATTACCCAGTTTTTCCGGTTTTTTACGTTAAAGTCAATAGTCTAGAGAAATGCATACATTTGCAATTGCCAACCTAACCAGACCACTCACTCTATTTTGCAATGCTTAGAATGTTGAGCTATGTTTATCGAAAATTTGATGTTTACATACGAAAGAAACTTTTTGGAAACAATTTTGCTCTTTTAAGGTTTAATAATACATTTTTACGCAACTTATGGAAAATAAGGTAATTTCCCAGAAAACGATTTTTGGATACCCCTCCCCCCAGGCCCTCCCCCTCCTATCAATTTTGTACAGGGATCTTAAATGTAAGATATGTGGCCGCAGCGCTCGGCCCAGAAAGTGTCTTAACCTAACCCTAATAAAAACCATTTTTTTTTTGAAAATTGTTGAAAAAGTGGTAATATATAAAATTGATAGGAGGAGGGGGGGGGGTTTGTCCAAAAATGGTTCTGTAGGACGGACCCGAAAATGAAATGTAAAATTAATGCGAAAATATTTATGCGACTTTCTGACCTCGTACCTTCCCCGGTTATAATTTAAGTAAAAAAATATTTTGTATTGCTGCAAATTATGAATACTTTTTAAATCGAAAAAATAGGTTTTTTTCCGAGTCTTCTGTATATTTGTTAGATCATTATTGACCAGTGCCTAATTACAAATAAGAAAGTTTTCGGCCTAATTTAAGGCCTAATTTTAAAAACTGCATGTTGTTAAGGCCCAGACTGTAATCAATCAATCGTTAGGTTTAATCGATATTAAATCTCTGGTCCTAGATCCAAATCTACATATATTGTAAATGCACAAAAACTTTTGACCACGGAGGCATTCAGGAAAAATTTTCATGTTCATTTTTAGAAATTTTTGAGTCTGATTAAATGGATTAAATGTAGCATCCATTTTCCCCTGGTTATCCCGTTTCATTCGTGTGAAGTTGTTTTACAACCGGCGAAATTTTCTTAATTTTAATAGAAAATATCAAATGTCAGTCAACGAATTAGGAAGGGGGTACAACGTGATCCTGCGAAATAGGGTGTCAATATTAACATGAGANGGTTTACCATAATTGGTATAATGTCATAGGAGGCATAGCTAGCTATTACATGGATTGATTTTAAATGACAATGTTGGTTTGGTGTAGGGATAGTATTGGAATATAATTCAAGCCATATTCTAGACTTAGGCATCATTATTTAAGCCTCTAGACTGAAGTTTAATAATCTACCTTCACCCTTACATACCTACCATTCCATCATAGCCTTCCTTAAAACTTCCATTTGCCACTTCTCACGTTTATTCTATCTTCACTCTTATTTTTGAACAAAATCAAAACTTAAAAAGTCAAGTATCACAGCATGTAAACTATATAAAAACATAGCCCAACATTTTTATATAAATTTTATGCAAAAATATAAATGTTTTAAACGTTTACGACACGATAAATTTAACTTTTATTAGGCTTCTGTAGAAATCTGCTAAATCTAACCCCCCTTGCCTCACAACCCACTGTTTAACTTAATATTGGGGGGGGTTAGAAGGGTGTAACTATGGGTGGTGGAAAAGATTAATCATTATTACTATTTTTGAAACAAAAATGCCATTTTTTCTTCATCGTAATTTTTCATTCCTATTCTCCCTCTCAGTGAAACATTTCTCTTAATGATGTTCAAGACTCAAAACTGACATAATTTGAAATTAAAAAGTTATAAATCGTTTTGGAGAGGTGTGAGTTCTACTGTTCATTTAACTTTAGCTTTACCCAACTTCAGAATTAATTTCACAAGCTTATAAAACAATTTTATTCTAATGTCAAAGAATTCGAGAAATGGTATTTAATCTACAACCTATTAATGAAGTTATGTTCAATTTTAAAGTACAAAAAAATGCGATTTTTAACTAAATTGACTATCCCTGAATTTCTAAGTCTTGTCAGGCCTACAGTGCCTGATTGTCATATACTTGGCTTGGAACCTCTATACAACATATAGGTCGTTAGAAAATCAATGTCAATTCTTGTATACAGCACACCTTCAAGTTCATCTTGATACAGGATGTATCATGTATACTGTACACCTTCAAGTTCATCTTGATACAGGGTGTATCATGTATGTATACAGTACACAGTACATTCAAGTTCATCTTGATACAGTACACCTTTAAGTACATCTTGATACAGGATGTATTATGTATACAGTACACCTTCAAATTCATCTTGATACAGGGTGTATCATTTATACAGTACACTTTCATCTCGATACAGGGTGTATCATTTATACAGTATACTTACCATACTATTTCACCATATAAGGTCTATTGCGCTTTTTGTATTGTTGAACCAGTAAATCGTGTTAGAAATATTAAACAATTTAATGCTTTAGGATCTAATTGCTTAACTATCTTGTTATGTTTCTAAACCACCCACCCAAGGAGCTCATTGTGTTTTCCTTATTTTTAAACAAAAAAGTTCAAGCGAAAAAAATTGGTTAATCCAGGCTCCAAGTTCGTAAGACCTTACGACCTGTGTTTCCGTCGCAACGATAATTACTCCAGTGGCAACATAGGGGTTAGAAGCAAAGACTAGTTAGCTAGTTAGATATTTAGATATTGGGATATCAAAACTAATAATTACAATTATCCAACCAAACTAAACCTAATCTTGTTAGTTATATATTTAGATATTTTAATGTCGAATAGGTATCAAATACAAGGCAACCTAGCTAGCTAAGATAACTAGACAACGGAGAGAAAATAAAGGTTTAAAGATTAGCTAGCAAACAATACAATCTAGGTATTAACCTTCTAGTTTACATATAATCCTTTTCTTTTCAACATTTCCTAAACTAATTGTGTAACATGAGCTTTATCTGTAACGTACGGTGTTCAAACCTTATATTTTACTCTTTCTTTCTTATTGTCTTATGTCTTTTTGTTTTATGTTTTTTTTTTGTCGCTCTTGTCGTTATAGTTTCTAGTTTCTTGTCGCAGCCGGTCTTAATTTTATAGTTTCTTGTCGCAGCTAGTCGTTATTTTATAGTTTCTTGTAACAATTCGTTATTTTATAGTTTCTTTTCGCACCTAGTCTTAGCTTCTTGTCGTAGCCAGTCGTTATTTTCTAGTTTCTTATCGCAGCTAGACGGTAGTTTCTAGTTTCTTGAAGTAACAATTCGTTATTCTCTTGTTTCTTTTCGCAGCTAGTCCTAGTTTCTTGTCGCAGCCGTCGTAATTTTCTAGTTTTTTTCGCAGCCAGTCGTAACTTTCTTGTTTCTTGTCGCAGCCAGTCGTAACTTTCTTGTTTCTTGTCGCAGCCAGTCGTAATTTTGTAGTTTCTTGTCGTAGCAAGCGTTATTTTCTAATTTCTTGTCGTAGCTAGTCGTTATTTTCTAATTTCTTGTCGTAGCTAGTCGTTATTTTCTAACCAGTTTCTGTCCCACTAGATTCGCCTTGATGTCTTAATCCTAAAATTGGTTTTATTTTATTAGGACTATTAAACTAGGGCGTATAGGCTCTACCTTTAATCTTTTCAATTCAGTTCAACAAGGCAGGGAGATTGCAATAAGGCCGTAGATATATAGATATTTTTAGGGAGATTGCAATACGACCGTCTAAATTGAAATTACACACTGCAATTAAGCAGGCAGATTGCTTTAAAGTTGGAAGATTGCTAAAATAGCATGGAGATCACTAAAATTGCTGGGAGATTGCTTAAGACATGGAGTAAATGAAATAAAGCATTAAGATTATATTAAGGCCGGCATAATGCATTCAGAAGGACAATGCATTTTTAAGAAGGGAGATTGCAACTTTGTGTAGGCGAATGCAATAATGGTAGACAGCGGGTAATAAAATTCAGTAAGTTTTCTTTCCATGACGTTGTTATAAGCATTTAGGCGCAACTTATGTTTTTAAAGGGGGTAGGGGGAGTTAAATTGTTATAATTTGGCACAGCGCGTCAGTTATGCCCAGACAGGCCCAGATTAATCGTCAGTGCATGTTTCTCATATCAGATATCTAGTCTGATAAAGGATATTTGATACTAGAGACATCTGTTGAGAATTATTCAGTCTGTCTTCATTAACCAGAGTCAGGCCTAGGACAGGTCTTAGACTGCTTCAAGTCCGAAATATTCTGACTCTTGTTAACTGTGACCAGTGTAAAAGGCTATTTTTCCTACAACAGGTTGAACATGAAACGTATAGTGGTCAAATCGCTCTTAGAAACTGCTGAACCGAATCAAACAATCGGTATAAATATGACTATGGATTAAACTTTATTTTACATTTGGACTTTAATAAAGGACTTTCTGGATTAGGTGGCACTTTGCGCCGCGAATTTTGAGATATATTGCTGCAAATAAAAGTAAAGATATGTTAAAATTTCTTCTGTATATTCTTAAACCAGAACACTGAACAGTAAAACAGGAATGACGGGGCAGTATTTTTATACATCTCACCCTGTAGTTAAATCTTTATTATTCCCTGTACACCCTGCAGGTGGGGGGGGGGGGGTAACAGGATTGGAGGGGGGTATCGTATCCATATCAGGGGGGAATCAGATTGTAAAGGAGGGGGGGGGCTATCGGTCAGCTTGAGTCTAACAAAGGGTTTCCTGGGAACAGGATGAGAGGATGC